GCTAGCAAAAACAGCATAACCCAGCATAGCTGGTCTCCAGCAAAGCCAGCATAAGTTGTAGTTTTGATGCTGGAATGCTGGTCAACTAGCTGACCCATCAGAGGAGCATACACCAATTTAGACCAGCATTGAATTCTTGAAGGACTCTGTTGGCAACATAAGTTACAGATTTTTAACAAATAAATCGGAATACCTAGAAAACAATCCAATACTTTGACATGATTTGTAGTTGTTGAACTTTATTCTTTATTAAACAATATTTCATATTAAATAATTCCACAGGAATTAAACCTGTATTTTATGTTAAAATCACTAAAAATATCTCCTAGGAACAATAACCCTGGACTGAGCTACAAGAGTTGATTTCTAATCTTGTCACCTTTTTCACTGCTCATGAATTTTCATGTGTGACAGTCAAACTATGAACACTAATCCAGCTCAAATTCATAAAAATGAAAAGTTAATGAAGTAGTTCAAGAATAATAAGTCTCAAGATTAAAAACTAAATCATAAGCCTGCAGTTTAAGGGGTTAAAACAGGCTCCATAAGCACTCATGGAGAATGGAGGAGAAGGTTATTGAAGAAATCCAAGACAGCAACAGTGAAGAATATGGAACAGACACTGAATGAGCTTTCTCTTGCACACATTTAAAAATGATGGTTCTTCAAGGGTTCTTTGGTAAAGAAATTGGTTCTATATAAAACCATGAACACACAAACACTTTGCATGTTTAAATGGTTCTTTGAATTGTGAAACAGTTCTTCAGATTGATGGAGAATGTGCTGTATATGGTCCTTATATAGAGCCTTTTTGAAAAGGGGTCTATATAGCACCAAAAGGGTTTTTCTATTGTTACAATGTTAAGCTTGTTACAATAAAATAACCCTTTTTGGTGCTATGTAGGACCCTTTTCAAAAAGGTTCTGTATAGTACCATATTCTTTACTAAAGAACAGTTAAAGAACCATCATTCTTGTATGAGCGGTGAGCTCTACATGCTAAAGACTGTAAGCTGTGGTTTAAATGAATGTTTTAAGCAGTCAAATAACTGACATGCACTTGAGCATGCACAGTTGACAGTTTCACTCCAGTCACCTCACCATAGCTGGAACACAAAGTTCTTTCTTTTGCTGCCTTATGCTGAACCAGATGTTTGCATAAAATAAATAAATAAATAAATCTGACACTGTTGGAAACTTTTGTTCATCTATGATAGGAGAAATACTTTATTTATGCAAAAGACAGGTTTTCTGGCTCCTGCCGTGAAGGTTAATATTGGGTTAGTGCTAGACCTAGCAGTATTTAGCAAGAGTGAAGCGCAGATGAAAAGAAAGACAGTAGTAAAACTGTGAGCGTTTTATTTAGGGATGACATTCTCACACTGAACTAGCCTTTTTTTTATCTTCAGTACATCACTTCAGCAGCTGTTCACATCTTTCATCGTGCTGCTTGTCTGTGAAGGCGAGAGAAAGACAGGGAGAGAGAGAGAGAGAGAGAGAGAGAGTAATTTTAATTAAAATGACTCCATTCCCCTCAACATAATTGCTACATATTCAGTTTGTATTTCTTTGGCACTTTTCTAACCTGAAGCGCAGCATATTTGACAGGGTTTTGTTGTAATGGCTTTTTTTTTTCTGCCTGATTGCTTTGGGAGTCTGAAAGCTCACCTGCAGGCACAGGTTCCGGTCTGGGTCAAGCTAAAATGCTAATTGCATTGTTAGGCTACTTCACTTTGCATTTTACTGAGGCACAGAGGCAATATCAGCATTTGAAATGGCAGTATACACTAAACCAGCCAGTGGTCACTGTCATAACAAATATTACAGTATCTGTGGGGTATCTACTTAAAACCCTATGGAAGGCATTGGAAATCATTGAAATTGGAAAAAAAATGAAAGTGGGCTCATTTCTCAGAACGTGTAATGTGCAAAAGCTCATGCATCCAGTTGGTTGCCAAGGGCACAGTGGTAAAGTAAACTTAGATGTATGCCCATGCTTTACCTTTAGCAAGAGAGAAAGGAAGAGGAAGATGAGGGAGACGGTGTTGTCTCCCCTTTTATAGTTTGTGATGGTTTGTTGCTTTAGGAGACCCATTACAGAATTCCAACTCTTTAAATCATGTCGGTCTTAAGTGTGGATTGCAGTGAAATCCATCGCTAAAAAGGTCATTTCTCTAGTGCCCTTTTAACATCTGTAGTACAATGCTGGCAAAATGCTACTGTTTGCTAATGGAGTTGTTTGCCACTTGCAAGAGTGGTATGGTACCTGCTCTGTGAGGGTCCATGGGGGTCCTGACCACTGAAGAACAGGGTAAAAGGGTTGTTTGCCACTTGCAAAAGGTAAAGCATAATTCACATTTTTGGAGGGAGTTCTTTATCCATGCTAACTTACAATACAGCCTTGTGCTAACGACTGGATTGTTGTCCATCTGAAAGTGTTCACAAGCGCACTATTGAGTTCCTTCTTCATGAGGCATTAGATTGGTTCGGAAATGTCACACTCGGTTTGTTCCCACCTTTATAAGTCTGCATTCCCACTCACATTAAGCCTGAATTTTTCATGGTTTTTCCTAGAAATCTTGTTATGAGATTCCATCGGACCAACCGAGATTACTCAAACCTGCACCACCTCACCCAGGGATGGATTACTGACCAGGCTAGTGTAGCAAGTACCCAGTGGCCTCTAACTGCTAGGGGCCTTGGGGGGCCTCAGACCGCAAGGGCCAAGTTGTTCAAAGAATAGAAACAGTACACTGCAGGTGCAAATGTCTGATGAACGAATAGCCTTTGAATTTGTAAAGATTAAGTAAATGAAGTAAAGGCCCCTAAGCCCACACCCTGCAACCGTATTTAAAACAATTAAAAGCTCTATAATAGCACTAAAACATCGTGTATTGTACATGAAATAAGATTAAAGAAATTGGTTTGTTTACAGTATATTGTTTCCAATGCTGTTCAAAGCACATACACCGATAAGGCATAATATTATGACCACCTCCTTGTTTCTGCGCTCATTGTCCATTTTATCAGCTGCACTTACTATATAGGTGCACTTTGTAGTTCTACAGTTACAGACTGTAGTCCATCTGTTTCTCTGCATACTTTGTTAGCCCCCTTTTACCCTGTTCTTCAATGGTCAGGACCCCCGTGGACCCTCACAGAGCAGGTACTATTTGGGTGGTGGATCGTTCTCAGCACTGCACTAACACTGATGTGGTGGTGGTGTGTTAGTGTGTGTTGTGCTGGTCTGAGTGGATCTTACACAGCAGTGCTGCTGGAGTTTTTAAGCACCTCATTGTCACTGCTGGACTGAGAATAGTCCACCAACCTAAAATATCCAGCCAACAGCGACCTGTGACCAGTGACCAAGGACTAGAGGATGACCAGCACAAACTGTGCAGCAGCAGATGAACTATCGTCTCTGACTTTACATCTACAAGGTGGACTAACAAGGTAGGAGTGTCTAATAGAGTGGACAGTGAGTGTTTAAAAACTCCAGCAGCACTGCTGTGCCTGATCCACTCAGACCAGCACAACACACACTAACACACCACCACCACGTCAGTGTTACTGCAGTGCTGAGAATGATCCGCCACCAAATAATACCTGCTCTGTGAGGGTCCATGAGGGTCCTGACCATTGAAGAACAGGGTAAAAGTGAGCTAATAAAGTATGCAGAGAAACAGATGGACTGTAGTCTGTAATTGTAGAACTACAAAGTGCACCTATATAGTAAGTGGAGCTGATAAAATGGACAGTGAGCGTAGAAATAAGGAGGTGGTCATAATGTTATGCCTGATCGGTGTATAAACAAACACAGTCTGTTTATTAAAGTTATTTTTCAGGTCTGTTTTTTCTTTTATATTTTTTTGCGGTATAGATGTGCCCAGGGGCCTTGTGAGACTACAATCCATCCCATATTTTTAACATAAATATTTAATAATATATTTCCATATATATTTTTTTTAATGTATGTGTCAAGTTTATATTTCCATATAACATCGCTATAAGATAAAACTTTGCAAATGTAACTTTACAAGAGAATGGTTCTTTGAATGAAGATAATAGAGCCGGATTTTTTTTCCAAGTAATTTTAGAGCATTTCTATTGATCTGTTTATCATGAATTGGTAATACAATGGAAAGAGCAGCTGGCATTTTTCAAATAAAATTATGTCCAAAAATATATCTTTCACACAAAATGTTTAGCAAATATAAACATTTTTCTTTCCATATAGGATCCCTGCCCTCAGAGAAAAAAAACATAATTGTACACTAAATTAAATTCTCTTTTTAAATTGTACTGTTGAATTGTTTTAGTAATAAGACCTAGTGTAATGTTACGTTGTAATATGTTTTCAAAAATCATTTTTGAAACCTACCTACCTTCTTTATTTGTATATCCTTCAGTATTTGCTACATAGGAAGCCATTTCATATAAGCTCAGGTCCGTGTGCCTGTTTTCCTCCACTAATGCTAATAGATCCGTTTGTACCTTGTGCCACGCAACAGCTCTGTCTCGCTCTTGCTCTCTGCTTCTCTAATAGAAAGCCAATTAGCTGGCATTAGGATGGTGGCGGAGAAAGGGTGCAGAGCGTGGGCGCTAGCGTCACGAAGGGGTACCTAACAGCACAAGCACAGGCGTTGTGAAATTGTCGTGCCTCATCAGACGCCATTATTTATCCTTCCCCCTCATTTCCTGCACCGCTGGGGTCCAGGTACTCTATAATCTTGCTGAGTCTTCTCTTAGACATGATTTGGTGCCACTCTCCAGGCCTGTACATGTTTTCTGTTCATCTCAGTAATTAATGGATGTGGTTCAAGTGGTTCAAGTGCACAAGTTGGTTATGCCTCATGAACCTCCTGCGGGAGGTTTATCGTTCTTACCATTACAGCTAAAGAACAAATTATATTTTAATACAAACAAAACATATGCTACAAACATTTCTCATCTTCTTATTTATAGGTGACATGGACAGTGGCTAATGACCTCTCCAGCAAGATGGAGACACCAATTACAATCCCAGGGTTAGGATTCAGTGCCCTGCAAGCTTCAGACTCTTGGGGCAACACATCGGTTCTCCCTGCCAATCCAGCCTTTCCCTTTTCCTCTCAACTCCCAAATGATGTGCTCCTCCACAACGGATCCCTGCAGAACTGGACGGACAGTGATAGCATCGGTTTTGTGCCTAGCGTTGCAGGAATCCTCATTCCTCTTATCTACATAATTGTCTGTGTGATCGGTTTAGGCGGCAACACCTTGGTCATCCACATTGTCCTGCGCTACTCTCAGACCCAGTCCGTCACCAACATCTACATTTTGAACCTAGCCATAGCTGATGAGCTCTTCATGTTGGGCCTTCCCTTTCTGGCGGTCCAGAATGCTCTTCTCTCTTGGCCGTTCGGCTCGTTAATGTGTCGTCTGGTCATGACTGTAGACGCCATCAACCAGTTCACCAGCATCTTCTGCCTGACCGTGATGAGCATCGACCGCTACTTGGCTGTAGTGCATCCTATCCGGTCCTCAAGATGGCGGCGGCCCCGAGTGGCCAAAGCAGTGAATGCCACAGTATGGGCTGTTTCCTTTGTGGTCGTCCTGCCAGTGGTGGTGTTTGCCGACGTGCTGCAGGACGACGGCAACTGCAGCATTGTCTGGCCTGAGCCAGCGGAGGTTTGGAAAGCTGCGTTCATCGTTTACACCGCAACGGTAGGCTTCTTTGGCCCCCTGCTGGTCATCTGTATGTGCTACCTTCTCATTGTGGTCAAGGTGCGCAACTCTGGACGCAGAGTGCGTGCCACGTCAATCCGCCGGCGGAAGTCTGAACGGAAGATCACACGAATGGTGGTGATCGTAGTGGCCGTGTTCGTGTTCTGCTGGCTGCCGTTCTACGTATTAAACATCGTCAACTTGCTAGTGCTGCTCCCTGGTGAGTTCCGTGGCCTGTATTACTTTGTGGTGGTTCTGTCATATGCTAACAGCTGCGCCAATCCCATCCTTTACGGCTTCCTCTCCGACAACTTCAAGCGAGGCTTCCGGAAAGCTCTATGCCGCTCGACTAGGCGAGTGGAAAATCAGGATCTGCAACTGGGAACCATGGGAAACCACACCCTGCCACTTGAGGAAGTAAAGAAGGACCTAGAACCCAGAGAGTGCCTGAGGGAAACTTGCACAGAGGTGCAGCCAGAAAGAGAGGAAGAGGATGAAGAAGAGGAGGAAGTAGACATGGGTTACATGGAGAATGCCACTCAGATGACAGAAATCTGCAGGTCGGTGCAGAATGGCTGCAGGAATGGACACATGGAGGGCGCTAGGACCCGGTTCTCACACACGGCTGAGGCCAAAGCAGCAGGCCCCGTTAATGGAGCCAGGACTGGGGGGAATGGAGGCTATATTAGTCCAACCTTTGGACCTGTTGCTCCTCTCAGTGGAGCTCAAAAAGGAAATGTCAAACGGCTGTCAGAGGAGGCAGCAGACACTGTCCTGGAAATCAGCTACTTGTAAGAAAATGTATTAAAATATAACTGGCTGTTTTATGCCTCGTTTTCTTCAGATTCCAGCATAAGTGAAATGCTAAATCCCACCAAATTGTGGAGTTTTTTTAGAAATCAATCGAAAGTGTCTTGTGTCTTTAAATGTCAATTTGAATGTATTCAGTGTTGTGCGTGCTTCACAATTTGTAATATATAAACACATATTCTGAAACAGAGGAACAATTAGAGCAGAATTCATTTCTGCCGTGATGACCTTGAGAAGAAAAGAGTGGTAATGTTGAATGATGTTGCTTAGAAAATGATTCTCCAGACCAGATTGTGCATAATTTCAAATGCCTGGATCTGGAATGCTCTAAACACTGAACAGAAAGCTGATAAAGAACATTTGTAAATGCACTTGTGTTTCATATTATTGTGATTCACGTAGATTTAGAGGCAAAATGTTCTGTTCTGTTCTTTCATGTTAGGTTGTGGTATTGTGTAGCACAGTGTGTAAAGAGGAGCATTCGAATTATATATTAATGTTTCAACATTAAAGCTGCCCAACAGAGTTTTTGCTGAACAGCTGATGCTAGTAAGAACTTTACCTATCTATGCTCCACCCACAGTAAGTTCTTTCATAGCATATGCTGCAAAGTCACCAGGTTTTACAGAACGATGGTCAAATTTCATTTAATGAGAAATTCAACTCACGTTTAATTTTTAGGGTTAGTGTGCTATTAATTTCAAATTATATTTTAATAGTGTTAAAAGTCATAATAGCCGGGTAGATTGGATGTCGCTTGTTGGTGATCAAACCAATGCCAGCCTTAGTCTTGTGAGGCCAGATGTGATGTCATAACACAAAAACACATCTGGGGGCAACTTAAACTTTTGTTGCTGGATTGTGGTGAAATCTGGTGCTAAACAAGGGGACATCCCCTCTAAAATTCAGTCCCAAAATGCCTCTTTTAATGTCCACAGTACAATCGATAACACAAGCTAAACAAGCTAGTAGGCATATACCAAAATTTTGGCTACCGGAAATTTTGGGTGACAGACAAAAATTAAACATACAGTATGACACTTAACACAGAATTTGAATAGTAATAAAAATGAGACACAGTGATTAAAAATGCTGTTCCTTCCCTTTGTTGTCATGTTCAGACATGTTCAAACAGCTTGAGCAGCAGCAGATCTACAGTTAAACACACAAACACAGTCCACTGCAGCTTAGACCTTCGTTCTACACAGTCTTTAGCTTACATGCTTTAACTGGTTTAATGAAATTCCTTAAGGGAAATCATATAAATAATACTTTTAAAAGTTGTTTCTGTAAATGTGTGTGTTTGTTAGATGCTGTTTTTAGGTTTATGGCTATTTCTTCTCTTTAAATGACAAGCGTTGAGGGTCTGCTGGAGGAACCTCAGAATGCTAGACGGCGGTCTCGCCACATGCTTTACCTAATAAAACAACGAGGTGTTTTCTGTCGTTATAGTCGGCATTCATCAAACCATGATGTATTATATTTTTACAACTTTTAGTATTTAATATTATTTAGCAAACAGTTTCAAATAAACTTATTCCTGTAATTCTCTCAGTGCTTTTTACATTCTTTACATTCAGTTCATTCTTTTTTTAGTTTTAACTTACGTTACATCCATGGGCTAACAACAGGCTTGTCCAACATCGGACAACGTTGACGAGCACACCGTAGCAACCTTGAGCTCCCTTGGACTGGTTTACAAAATTCACACCTGGTTTGTTCCCTAATAAGTCTTCGTTCCCACCCACAGTTAGCCCAAAATTTCTCATGGTTGTCCCGTTCTCACTACAAGATCAAGTCTGGCCCTGTGAGACTCAGCCAATCTGTCACTGTCTACGCCATCTTTCAGTTAGCTACAGTGTCCTACTATTCTGTATAAGTTTGCTACTGTTCTGATTGAAAGAACGCGTTTAGGGGCGGAGCATAGATAGATCAATTGTAGCTCAGAGCCAATCAGTTTCAGTCAGCATTTAAAACTTTTTCTTAAAGCAGAACAAGGACCTGCTCTGTAGGTATAATCTTAGTGAAGCTCTACATAGTATGTAGCAGATACAGTGATTTCCAGAAGTATATTGGTGCTGACACAACTTTGTCCTTTTGCTTTGTTTTCCAGCAGATTTTATCGTTAATCATTGGTGTCTTTCTGTTTAGAAAACAGCACACTTTGGCCTGTGCAATGTTATTTCTCTGATCTTTTTCCCTGATTTTTCATTGTACACTGCAAATGAAGACGTGGCTAATACAAACTAGGTTTAAAGTAAAGCTTACAAATACATTTAAAATGAAACGATGAACAAAATTATGCTTCTAATTTTCTCTTAAATGTTTTGTCTCATATGGTTGACACTATCTTCAATTGAAAGCTCACTCCAGCACTTTAACCAACTCTTAAAATCTTTGTGTGATTAAAAATCCAGAGTGCCAAAAAAAGTACCAAAAAAGGTCACCCTGTCCTTGTACCTTTGGAAGGCATTGTATTGACTGTATTGACTGTATTGAAAGTACACAATTCTTTGGGGACCCATTTCCTGTTCCACAGTGCCTTCTATCATCTGGAGAACAAAAGCTCAGTTGGACAGCTTTCTAGAATAAGTCATTTTGTGTTAGAAATATTTTAAAAAGCTGTGTATTGAATTGTGGAGCCAATGCGACAGTGTACTCACTGTTACACAAATGATTTGAATTGTTAATAAATTCATTTTGTTGTGGATGACAGTATTGTGTGTTGCTTGTGTAATAAATGACTGTGCTCTAAATTAAGTTAACCCTTTAAATGGCTAGGACTTTTACTATATATCTATAATTTAAGAATGACTAAGCCAATTTGCGCTGTAGTTACTTTATAATAATAATAATAAGCATGAATGTTCTCTCACTACAATACCCAGCATGCTTTACGCAGATACATCCTATAGTCATTGGGAATCTCTATGGTGTCAACCAATCCTGACTAGCCTAGTCTCTGATCTACAGGCTAATAAATACAACCAAGCTAGCAGTAGTGGCAGTCTTAGCTTGGTTGTCCAACAAAACTATGAAGAAAACAGAAATTCTTTCTATATTCAGTGCAAAATGGATGCCAGAGACAAGTTTTTTACCCTTTCAGCCAGAGAAAAGATGCCAAAAGTATCTCTATAGCTGCTAACTTTTGCTTTTACCACAGTAGTACACCTCAATATGATATTCAGCCTCCTGACTGTAACATTAGCTAACTGGCTAATGAGAAAACAACAAAAGGTTTCAAGGCAGCACAAAAATCCACCCAAAGCAGTTGTTAAAAGTTCCTTCCACCTTAAAGATACATCATCAGAAGCATTTTTATTCTTTAAAGCTGGAAAATCTCACTCTAGAGAACTCCGTAAGATATGAGTACAACAACAGGTGTAACGATAGTTATTTTTCCTTTTGGTCTGAGTGCCCTTTCAAATGTCACTATTACTATAAATTAGACACCACCCTCCACCACTGGGCACTGACGTGGTTCCATTGATTAGACAGAACCTTTGTTTGCCATTGATTAAGTCCAGTCTTTGGCTGTTATTCAGCTAATGGTGATTCGCCACTAAAAATGCTCACAGTCCGGCGCTAGGATGAATTGGTGCTCTGACAACTAGACCTTAGGGATTAGAGTAGCTGGAGAGGCCAGGCTATCAGTTACAGGATGTCCAGTGAAAATCAATGAGCTTTACTCAGAACAAAAGATGCAAGAGCAAAGAAGGGCCTGTATATGACGTTTCAAATACAGTTATCATCTGTTCATTTATTTATTTTTATTTACACCATTTCAAAATGCTAACTGTCCTTCACATTGTATAAACATTTTATGACGAATAAACCAAGAATGTTTCTTTTAATGTACAGTACTGTGCGAAAGCCAGAGACCACCATTCATTTATTTAATTTACAGTCAAAGCAGCCATTTGGTGGAAGTTATTCATTTTTCAGCATCATAAAAAAGCAGAAAACATGTATTGTAATGAACAGAAAATCACATATATTGCCTCAACAACTGAATACAATTTCACTTTTTCAGTATTAGGTGGGTCCACTCTTTACCTTTATTCCAGCTTCCATTCTTTTCGGAGGAATCACGTTCAGTTTTTTATCTGCAGAGATATTTTTCCACATCTCCAAAGTTCAGTCTTAGAAGTTGGTTGCATTTTCTGCTTCTCACAATTCAAGTAATCACGAACATTCAGTGATGTTGAGGTCTGGGGTGGTCAGTCCGTTGTTCAGTTTCTTTGTTTGATGTGTCTGTCTCCTTTTCTCGGTGAGGGCTTCTTGGCAGCTACACAACCTTTCAGACCATAGCGCTGAGTTGTCTTCTCACAGTGGAAGGATGGACAGAAACACCTGTGGATGTTTTCAGATCTGAAGCAGCTTGATTTTCTTCTCTCTCTCAAAGATGAAAGCTTTAAGTGTTGTTTATCTGATGGGGATATTTATGGTCTACCAGCTTGCAGGTGGTTATTAGGAGTCCCAGTTTCTCTGTATCTTTTAATTTCTTTACTTTTACTCCAGTTTTGATAACTCCTTTTTTTCCCACATTACTTCCTTTGACTTTCTCCTTTCTTATGCAGGTGGATTTTCTTATATCTAATCTCCTCAGAAATATCTCCTGAAAATTTAATAACTTTGGTGATCTATGACTTTTGCACAGTGCTGTGTATGTATTTTTAATATGTCCACTCTTCTACAAAACTGGAAGGCTAATTCCAGACCAGTGTAGCAACACTTCCTGATGTTGCTATCAGCTGGAAATTCAGGCTAGTCCATGCATGATAAAACAGGTTCCCTCTTCAAGAGGTACTGTAAATATTAGGCTACATGTTAACAGGAGAGGTGAGAAAGTAATGGGTGTTTGAGAGTGTGAGAGAGAGTGTTAATGCATCCCACTTTTGGATGTGTTTGTATGTGTATAAGTTTGTGTGCAAAAGGCAACTGACTCATTATCGTGTAATTTAAAATGATGGAAACCAGATGGCCTACATACTGAAAGATGCAGAATGCAGCACAAGGTCTTACAAGATTTCAGTATTTTCGCACCAGTTCTCTCATGAATCACATTAGCGGCATGCTGTCATTCGCCCCAGATACGCACCTCCTGAATGGCACTCACATGATAGGCAAAACTGCAATTAAAGCATGTACATTCATCCAGCACAAGACCAAGAAACCAACTCAGCTTATTTTAACAATGAAAAAATACTGAATATTGGTCATATTAATTTCAATTAATGTGAAACATACTTTGCCTAAAGGCTCAGTCAGACTAACGTTTGCCAGACAAATTTTGCAAGCAAATTCACATTCAGTTCATTGGAATTTGCCATAATGGGTGATTTCATGTCCAAACCTCTGAGGCAAATACATTCTGAGTATAAAATTTCATGTTGAGTTCAACTTTGGTGAACTTGGATGTGCAAATTCACATCTTTGACCAATAGCACTACTTTGGCTGCGAATAAACTCTGAAGGGGCAGCTGTTCATAGCACTGAATCTCCAAAATGGAAGAACCAGTATTCAAGCACAAGTCTTCAAACATTTCTCCCCCACACATAAAGGGAAGACTGCAGTCAGGAGACTGTATTATGCTGTGTCCAACTTGGCTCAGAAGTGGGAGGTCAGAGTTTGGAACTGAGTCACTTTTGGCCTCTACATGTTCAAGTAGCAAAGTAGGAAAGCATGGATGCTTCAATGACAGCACATATTGTTAGCAACAAGCTAACCAGCTAACACTAGTGATATAAGTGATAACTTTAACCTTCATGATGTATTTATCTTCTCAAAGCAGTGAACATTATGGTTAATAGTATAGTTTAAACAACTACTGTGTCTGTATGTTGAATGATCTAAAGCAAATATCATTTAAAAGTAGAAAAGTGGTTCTATCTTACTATTGACAGTGCAAGCAGCCATGTTGATTTGACATCATATGCTGAGCTCAAAGTTACAAGTTACAAACTTTAGTGAAACACTGAATTATTATCTTAATTTTTGTGGTAAACAAGTTAGCCAGTTGCTAACTGCTGTGTTAGCTTATTGGCTAACCATGGCTGCACACAATTTACCATGCTGCTGCCAACCAGGCACATTTTTTGCTGCAGATCAGTGTGAAGCACAATGCTATAGCAAGCATATATTTATCTGATATAATTATGTTTACATTTTTGTTTTCACTGATTATGGAAGGAGAGTTAGCTAGCTTACTAACTGCATCAACAGTCCATAAGTGTCTGGACAGTGGCACCGTTTTGGAATTTTTCCTCTGTATGCAACCAAAATTAATTTGAAATGAAGCAGTCAATATGTGGTTAAAGACTTTCAGCTTCAATTCAAGGGGTTTATTTTTACATAGTCCTTCCATTTTCACAGTCTCAAAAATGACTGGGCAAACTAACAATTCTAAACACAAGGATTATTTTTAATACTTGGATGTAAATCCTTTGCAGTCGATGACTGTCTGAAGTCTAGAAACCATGGACATCACCATATACTGCTTGTCTTTCTGCTTTCAGTTTTGCCTTCAGTAAGTGAAAATCATGCTCAATTGGGTTAAGGTCAAGTGACTGATTTGTCCATTTAAACAAATTCGATTTTTTTTTACCTTAAGAAGCTCTTGAGTTGCTATTGCGGTATGTTTTGGGTCATTATCCATCTGTACTGTGAAGCGCTGTCCTGTCAGTTCTGCAGCATTTGACTGAATCTGCATAGAAAGTCTAGGTCTATACACAGTTCTATCAACAGTCACATCATCAATAAACACACAGTGAACCAGTTCCACTAGCAGTCATACAAGCCCATGCCATAACACTGCCTCCACCATGTTTCACAGATGATGTTGTTCCAGAACTGGGCATGCTTTTATTCAATCAACTCCAGACCTTCTAACTCTTCGTCATAATAAGGGAACAGGCCAAACCTGGCCATGAAACTGCACACCAGTCAACTGTCCAGTCACTTTTGAGCCTGTGAAGATGGAGGGACTATGTAAAATGTCTGTGATAACTAAACGGTTAATGCAATATCTTTGTTAAACCCCTTGATTCAAAGCTAAAAGTAAGTCTACACTTCAATCACATCTTCACTGCTTCATTTCAAATCCACTGTGGTGGTTTACGGAAGCAAAGTTACAAAAATTGTCAAAGTCCAAATACTTATGGACCTGATTGTAGAGGACTTTTTGTCACAATTTTTCAGTCCAGCCTCAGTTACTGCCATTTTGCAAGGCACCACACACTGCAAATATCTAGTGTGACTATAACTTTACTAATTTGTATTTATTTTATTGCATAGAAATTATATTCACTGCACATCTCCAGCATGTAAGTCTAATGACATGCTGTAAAGCTCTAGCATTTTGCACAGGGATCTGTATCTGGCGTGTCTGTACCATATGATCAGTTACAATGGACAATAAAAATAATTTCCTTCTGTTCATAATAGAACAGAAAAACCAAGGACTAAAAGCACACTTATAACAGAACCTAATGCATACGGGCTGAAGCACCTGCCTGTTGTCTTATTATAAGTATGGCTTCCTTGGTAAATGGCTGTATGCTATAGTTGTGGCAAATAAAGGTCAGTTTAAATCATGCTGAAGTATTCCTTTAAAAGGTAGTATGATGTTTTATTATTAATGATAAAGAGTGACAGCACAAGATCATATGTAATTCAGCAGAACTTCATCTTTTAGCAAGAGTATCATCTTTTATGTGGATCCTTCATACTGTTTTTCTGGTGGCTAATGGAAGGGGCCAACCATATGCACTTAAATGGAGCTCTTTTGTTTAAAAAGCTCAAGTAAATGCCTCACTCTAGTGGTGGCATTTGATACTTAAACTTTGGGCAAACTATGCTAACAGCTCCTTTCATACAAATATAAAGCTCTCTCAGCAGTTTCTGTAGCAGGCATTCATTTAATTCAATGGAGTCTCTAAAGCATTCAAACCTTACATGCCTTTGTATTCACAGTGGGTATGAAAGAACCAGTTTTATTTTGAGTGCAATCCCAGACATGAAATTAGGTATTACAAAGCCATAACTCAAGGGTTTTAGCTCAGACTGTTACAAAATTTCCTCAGTTATTTAAATGCAGTTCACATTTTCAAAAAGCCCCAGTGGCTGCACCATTTTTGCGAAATAATAAAAAAAAATTACAAAGGTAATTTAGATGTTTTTTCTAATCCTTCCATGTTTTTAACCCTGTATTGAAGATCATAGTCCACAGTAAATTCAGGTTCCATTTTAACCGATAATTACCAAAACTGAGCGTTTCAATATCTGTATTACATGTAAATGATGTATTATGTATGTTATAAGTGTATCACCATCATAATATGAAGATTCATTCTGGCTTGAAGATAAGAAATGCTGTCACATAAAGGCTAATATCTTTTTGTGCATTAAACAATATACAGAAAAATAATAAAACAAAGCACATGAATGAAAATGTTAATTGACTTAATTGCCCATGCTTTTATAATAGACTTTAACATGATTAAAGAAATGTTTCAGCAAAAAATCAACTTTACACAATTTTCCCTTTACCCCAGATGTAGTTGTTCAACCAGGACATGTTTGGTGTCCCAATTTTGCCTCTTTAGGGCCGGAGCTACAAGGCTAACATTGCTAACAAACATTAGATCTCAATAGTCACCCAAATCTTGTCCATAAATATGGTAAAGTACGGTGAAGTTTTGTTCATTTGTATAGTTCAAAGTCATGCTGTGCTCTAAACCACAATGACAAGTCTAGGTGATCACAGTGATGACCTGGATGCAGTTTGCGTGGGTTGGGAGAAGGTTTGAGGATGTATGTACAGAAAAGATTTGGGCGAGTATTGACTTGTAGTGTTTGATAGCACCATTAGGCAGATTGACATCTGGGGAAAGAGAAAAACCTGGGAGCGAACCATTCCTATAATGAAGGTGAAACCTATACAACTAACTTGCTCATAGAGGAAAACCGCAGCCTTTGGGAAAATGCCAGAAGCTGATGATTTAAGGTTGCATTGCTTTCACTTTGGAACTGACAAACCTGAACATTACTAACATTGTACTTGGTGCTTTGCAAATTTTACTACCTTTTTGTATAAACTCTCTGAACACGCACATAGATAACACAACATTTCAGCAACTGCATTTAAACAACTGAGGAAAAATCACCAACTGCAGTCCTGAAATCTTGCCGATAGAACTGTGCAGAGCTGAGGTTCAGCCATGATTTTGTCCATTCATTCCGGCACAATATCTCCAATCCACTTCAGGTAGGGAGGGTTTCCCTGGTCAATAGGCAAACTGATGACTTCGGCCACTTCATACGGATGATTGGACCTGCAGCAGAGGAAAAGTGTGATCACACACATACTGTTATTTGTCTTTGGTACTTTTATCTTCTTGGGCAGGTTTCAGTCAGCTACAAAGAGGTTGTGCGAAAGGGGTCCAAGCACTTAGTGTTTATCAGATTTGATAAAGATAAGATTTGATAACGCTTGATGAAATATCAAATTTCAATCACTAAGTGAAGTCTTAGTTATTTAAAATTACTGCCAATTAGAGTCAGAAACAATCATTATTTTTTCTTTTTCGTTCAGCTTTATTTTACAGTTCTGTAAATTCCATGTATTAACCAGGTAAGTGTGTTGTACAAACTCAAAAGTACTAGATAATTATTTCAGGTAACAAGATGGTAAATTCCAAGACGATCTAGCTAAATTACACTGCAATGCCAAACAGGTAAATCCACAGTACTGTGTACTTATTTTGGGTAAAAAGTACCAGGTAGTTAAATAATATGAAAAGATCCTTACCTAGTACATACCTATTACCTTTGTATTACCTTCTAGGTTCCACCTATCTATTACAGAATCTGGGCTGTAAAAGAAAGTAATGATTCTTACTGTGGTTGTTACTTTAGAAATATGCTGTCATGTTACACTCTACAACTACCCGGTGCTTGAGATTTTTCTCTTTTACTTTCTTGCTTAAACATGTGGCTTTACAGTAAATTTTAGTTTAGAGTATGTTTGTACTGACCACCTTGTTACTGCAAATATTTGATACATTTTACTTCATCTGCTTAATAGCTAGAACCTGAGAGACATTTCAGTGTAATGAAGTTAGACTGTCTTCGTACTTGCCATCATTTCACCCAAAATAATTAGACAGCACTTAAGAGACTGTACCCCACACATGTCTAGAATCTTTTGAGCATTTAAGGATAACTTAGTTAAATTGATTTGGAACATACAATTAGTTACAGATAGTTATCTAGTACATTGGAGGTTGTATTTCATAGATACTTCTGAAAACTGAATGCCTTCTGAATTACACTCTACATTTGTGCTGTAGTTATCCACTGTATATGTAATATACACCGATCAGCCATAACATTAAAGCCACCTCCTTATTTCTACATTCATTGTCCATTTTATCATCTCCACTTATCATATAGGAGCCCTTTGTAGTTCTACAATTACAGACTGTAGTCCATCTGTTTCTCTGCATACTTTGTTACCCTGTTCTTCAATGGTCAGGACCCCCACACGACCACCACAGAGCAGGTGTTATTTGGGTGGTGGCTCATTCTCAGCACTGCAGTGACACTGTAGTGGTGGTGGTGTGTTAGTGTGTGTTGCGCTGGTACAGGTGGATCAGACACAGCAGAGCTGCTAATGTTTTAAGACTGTGTCCACTCACTGTCCACTCTATTAGATACAACTACCTTGTTGGTCCATTTTGTAGATGTAAAGTCAGAGACGATAGCTCATCTGCTGCTGCACAGTCATTTTCTAATCCTTCATCAGTGGTCACAGGATGCTGCCCACAGGACGCTGATGGCTGGATAGTTTTATGTTGGTGGACTATTCTCAGTCCAGCAGTGACACTGAGGTGTTTAAAAACTCCAGCAGCACTGCAACACACACTAACACACCATCACCACATCAGTGTCACTGCTTTGCTGAATGATCCACCACCCAAATAATACCTGCTCTGTGGGGGTCCTGACCATTGAAGAACAGCGTAGAGAAACAGATGGACTACAGTCTATAATTGCAGAACTACAAAGGGCTCCTATATGATAAGTGGAGCTGATAAAACGGACAATTAATGTAGAAACAAGGAGGTGGATTTAATGTTATGACTGATTGGTGTCCTGTGATGTATAAAAAAACAGAAGCAACATAAACATCATTGTGAAGGTAAGATTAAGGTAAAATAAAGGTTTTGATGAACTGGGCTTACCTAACATATTCAGCAAGAGCAGGAATCTTTGTACTTCTTGTCTTAATCATCTGAAAAACAGTAAAGATTTACAAAACGTTTTTATGTGAAAAGATTCATCATATCACTTGAATCTTAAAGCAATGTTTTGTTTTTGTTTTCCTTTGCTGTACTTGAACTCTACTCACCAGCAACACCTCACTGTCTTCTTCAATCTTTCCTTGCCATTCATATCTGCAGGAACACAGAAAAGGACCTTGAGAAACTAGTACTACTAAAAAACAGCAGCAGCAAATCCCAGTGGACAGATTTGCAAGGATTTCTAGCCACACACACACAATGTCCCTTGTGCCCACAAAGCCTCAGTATTTTGCATGTGACATTATAATGAATGGAGATGGTCACTGTTCACTCAGTCTATGCATAGTACTGTGCAAGTATTAGGCACCTAAAGAACTTGTTTAAAACCATTTATCTGGAAACACTGTAATCCTTGAATAAATGTAACTAAACATTAATACACTAGAAAGTAACAATAATTAATCGTCTGGGCCTGTGAGATGAACAGATGTTTGGTTCCAAGATTCTCCTCAACCCCCCCAGCCATTACATGGATTTGTTAAACTCCACCTGATTTAATTGAATGGAATATTGATTAGCCAAACTAGGTTTGGAAAGGTTTGGAAATTAATAGAAAACATTAAAACTCATAAAAATCACTTTTATATTAATGTTATTAGCATTTACTCTAATATTAGTATTTTTCTAAGCAAATAAATGCATACAGCCCAGATAAAGTTTTAACGGTAAAGATACATTTTTTAAATGTAATTTTCTTTTGCAAAGTACTGTATGTGAACCGTAAAGAATGGAAAGTGAAATAAAATGGAAGCATCTTAAAAATAGGCAGTATACCTGATATTTCTTAATTTTTCTTTTTTTTTTGTTGTAAAAATGTCATATAATTATTCAACCGGTTTCTGAATACTTAAAGATTTTTATTAAATGAAATGATCTTACTGCACTTGCACATAACTCTTGAAAGCAAGACGGTTGAATTACCTTGACTTATATTTTTTCAATCATTTCAAAATTTGAAATATTAGATATACTGCCCACTTTTAAGGTGCTTTTTCACTTAGAAAAATAGGCCAAGGTTCTATCACAGTCTCAGAGTATCAGAAAAAAAGACAGAAAGGCTGGCTTCTCACTTTTGAAGATTATTTCTGTTTCTGAAGATTACTTCTGAAGCTAAGTCTACCAAGAAATGACTGGAGAGAAGATCCACTAATCTGATGTTTTTTCCTGGACAAAGTCCAGACTGAAAACCAGACTGAGGTCTCAGATTTGGTCTCAGACTGAGATCATTATACTTGACACATAACCTTATGTTGCAGACATGTTAACTTCAACTGAACTCAATGCTAAACTAAAAATGCTAAAAAATAATATTACCTAGAGTGTAATTTTTGCAGTGTATATTATGAGTGTCTCTGGTTAACACAAAAAAAGAAGAGCAGGTAAACAGTGGTTAGTATTTGCTGCTTGACATTTCTTCTTCAGTTACTCACATTGATGTAATTTTAGGCACGATGTTGACGCAGGCTGCCAGCTTCTTCTCCACAATACCTCTGCAAAAACACATCACAACTGATGTTCCATTCCAACTATTAACTGCCAATCTATATATCAATATCAAAACATAATGTAGACTGTAAAAAATAAATGTGTTTTCATTATTTCAGGTATTCTGGGACAACAAGAAGTATATTATCTTATTTTGTAAGACAACATCACAAAATTTAGTTATCTGCCTCAAGACTTCATCACTGCTTTTGAAATATGAACGTTCCTATGTAAGAATTTTAACTTCGTTCTTGATGTTATAGCTTTCTCAGTCCTCTTAGAATAAGAGTTCTGTTCATTACTTATATTTATATACAAATTATCCTGACCTTCTAACTTCAAAGTACTTAGTCAAAACCTGATGTTACACAGGACATTTTAAAATGTTAAACTTTATGTTTTGAATGGTGATTCCAAAATTTCAACAGAAGTGTACATAAATAACTACCAAGGGGTGATCTATACATGCATCACAAAGAAGCACTGAATACAGATGTATTGTGTACAGTAGTCCATGATAAGATGTTCAAGCTTCTGGTTACATTTTTTTTGTTACTATGTAATGCTGAGTAATGCATATAGCACTGATCAGGTGGCTGCAGGTGAATTTTACCTGGCCAGGTCTTTGGCCACTGTGTCATTGGGGCAGGTGACAAATGCTGCAGAGTGAGTGCCAGAGGAATAAGCTTCACTCGCCATGGAGAATGCTCGTAGTCCTATAGTCCTCAGCAGCGGGAGCATCAACACACTCAGAAAAACTGTCTAAGGGAAAAAACAAACAAACAAAACAGGTTTCTTGTCAGACTTTTTACTAATATTCATATGATTTTATACTAATATTCAATTTTCATATGATTTATCACCTGGATTTCATGATAGGTACAAATTCCTACTTAGAACATCGGTGCAAATTCGTCCCCAAACTTTTAATTTTTCTGATCGCTGCAATAGCCTACATACACTTCTAAGTAAATGATCACACCCAATAAATGGCTCTTTAATTCAAATGTAGTTATTTTAAAGCTTTTTTAGACTCACACAGCAGTCAAACACTGCTGGTGTGTTGTAAGCTTCCATTTCTCCCAACCTCGAGTAGCTGACACTGTATTAGCTTAATGCTTTAGTTGGGAAGTAGGATAGTCGACAAATTCTGAGATCCTATTTGTCATGAATGCAGCATAAAGTGCTGCACTGTGGCAAAAAGAGTAGTATGAAAGGTGATGTCAAGGCAAGAATTTATATATTAAAAGTCAAGCTGAAATCAGAATCTTTTTTACTGTGTTAGTTCATGTTTCTGGTCATATTAAGGACATTTCATCATATATCATCCAAAGACATTTCCATAATGTTCCATCAAAATGAAGTGACTTTTGCCCCACCTCAACACCTGTGTATAGACTAACAAACACCCGTACCATTTACATTACATTTACATGTTTGTTATTTGGTAGACACTCTTATCCAGAGCGACTTACAATTTATTCTTGTTACATAGGTAGGAGAAAGTAGTCCTGCCCAAGGCCTACTGGTGTGCTTTCCTGAGCAGAAAATCAAACCCCTATCACATTTATCACATAGCGATAAATTAATAACTACACTACATATAGCTCTGTTAATATAAGACCATAAATGTGATTCTGCTCATTTTAAGACAATAATTTTCTCATATTTTCTTGTAAAACTCAAGCATACAGTCATTTGAATACCCCATGTCAAATCAGGCTTTGTTGATTTTCTAAGTGAAAATAATTAACAAGTCTTCTACATGGAACACACATAAATTTGGTATTTTCTGCATTTTTTTATATTCATTAGCTTAACATATTAGAAAACCATAAAATATAAAATTTACCATAACTTTTGCACAGGCCAATTATTTATTTATTTTTTTTACAATATGTTAAATTCAGGAAATTAGCAGTAGTTGTGCATTAAAATAAAATGTGCAAAAGGGTGTTATTACCTACAGTGTAATTTTTGCAGTGTATATTATAAGTGTCTCTGGTTAACACAAAAAAAGAAGGGCGGGTAAACAGTAGTTAGTATTTGCAGCTTGACATTTCTGCTTCAGTTACTCACACTGATGTAATTTTGGGAATGATGTTGATGCAGGCTGCAATTTAATATTTATATAAATATATTAAATTCAGGAAATAAGCAGTAGTTGTGCAATAAAATAAAACGTGCAAAAGTGTGTTCTCTGTAGAAGATGTGTTCACTTATTTTCAATTAGAAAATCCATAAAAAAAATTGTATTTAGGCCTGCACCAGTCATATTTTTTTATAATTAAAAAAATTAATTATCATAACTAATTAATTGTTGTTTTTCTTTATTGCATGCAACTATTAGTAGGACAAGCCTAAAGTGAACCAACTGATTGTTGATACTTAGCAGCTCCCCAGAGCCAGTTTATGAGGAGCCTGGCCTCTTCCTATTTCCCTCGTTATATCAAAAACATGACTGCAAAACACCAGAGGACACTCGTGAGTGAGTCCTCAATGAATGGGAGTAAATGGAGCTAAATGGCTAAAACGAAATTGTTTCTAATCACTCGCTCAGAACTTTCCTTTAATTTTAGAAAGTAGAAGAATGTATTTCACTAAAAAAGCAAAGAAAACTTACGTACGTTTCCTTTTTTCGACAGCAAACGGGTTTTGGGCAGCAGGACGCTGGCTTTACTGATAATGATTGCTGATTGGTTGGCAAGTGGAGCAGCTCATTGGCTGTTTGTGCTCACTGACGTCATGAATGTACATGAAGTGCCATTTTAAACTTCTCTAACTCAAATTCAACGACTCTTAAAAAATAATTAACAGCAGTGTTTAAATGTTTATGCTGTTCTATGCTCCATCACAACCCATTCATTTTGGACTCGCTCGGGAGCGCCCTCTACTGTTTGAGAAACCCGGCAGATATTACAGAGTCTCCCAATTACAAGTTCTCTGGTAGCTCCCAACTGAGGACAGAAGCAAACATTACATACTTCTACCCTCTAACATTTTACAGCACCAAGTCGGAAGTTAGAATTTGTGTTGTTTTCTTGAGACTCACAATGTGTCTGTTTTATTTTTACATGCGTTTCTCCTAACTGAAAATGCACCCAAATCAAATCCTATACTGCGATGCAAATATATGATTGTGAAAGCTGACAACTGCAGAAAATAACTGTGGTCAGCTCAAATAATTGCAATCAGGTGATTTTGTATTGCAATTCGGCCAAACCTTTGCTCATATCTGTATATACCAAACTGTGATGTACTGTGGTAGAAATGTCATCACACTGAATCCAACTTCAACTTGGCTTAAAGTCTTCTACACCAATTGTTTCAGACAATTACACATGCAATATTTAATTGAGTGATGCAGAAATCTGACCAATGATTTCTTATCTATGCCATAGTGTGATATGCAGTAAGGCAGTATTACTCATATTACTGCCATGTCGAGTTGTCATTGGAGAACACACTCACCACAAAGAAAGCTTTTAAGAGTCTTCCTTGCACTGTCTCTGCAGGTGGCAGTCCAAACTGCATTGCCTGTGCAAGCAACATGCAGGTATGAGCCAAACGCTGATAACGCGACAGCCCTTTGTCCACTGACTGAAAATCATTTACTAAAGATGTGGGGAGATTTTCCTGGACATGAATTAAGCCTGGTCTAAATTGCAGTGTGAACTGGAAATGCTTTGTAGTTTAGGCTTTCTCTGATTTTGGGAAACTGTCCCCAAGAGTGGGAACTCCTTTTATAACGATCCCTGAGGCACCTGCCATGACAGAGGCTTTGTCACTTACATCCAAAATATTGGCCTTCAGAAAAAAACAAGAATGTGACATGCAGTAATATTTAACTAATATTTCCAAAACTTATGCATATTTTATCTGTTGAGATGTAAACAAAGTCATTCAGATTGGTTTGACGTGAAGTCGCTCAGTGTGGAGAAACTTACTGACACAGATTTCTTCAATGTTGCTGTCACAATGTTTACAGTGCAAATATTAGAGCCAGTCATGCATCAGGCAACATATTAATAATCATTTTATGTAATAACTTTCTGTGAGGAGCTTTTAGAGGTGTTAAACTCTTCAGACGTCTGGTTGTTAATACACAGCTGTCAACAATTCTAACTCTGTAAGAGACAGATAACATGGAAATGATATAAATCACTTACTGTCTGTGTGTCAGGTTGACAGATGATGTCTTGAAGAGGAAGAAATAAACAACACTTTTAATATTGAATATCTTGAATTGTTACAGACGTTCTAATCTTCTTATTCAGAATGTAGGCTTTTCTAGGCTTTTAAGAAAAACATATTATATAGCATCAATGCATATCTTACATTAGTGAAACATTACCTGACCTATACAATATACTACTATACAACATCATCTAATAAGGAAGAATGTACTATTTACTTACAGAACTGATGGTTAGGTGTTTAAGATGATGTATTTCCCTGATCTTGGCTTTGTTCTCATTGGCAACTGACGAGCTAAAAGACGGTACGATGAGAAAAATTAGCAACCTCATGTTTCCCTTCACAGAGATGTTTTCTAGTGATAATGTTCTCTCTGCGTTTTTGTCTTTTTATATGCCAGATGAGAGTTTGTTCACCATGCTGAAGACAAAAAAAATCACTGTGATGAACTCATCTTCAGGAAAATACTGACATTTCGTTCAGCTAGATACTGCTGTCTATGTGGAAAACCTACGACCTTACAAAGGTGAACATGTGTGGAATATGTTAATTAGGTACCTCATGCAACTTTAACTTGGGTTTTATTTGCAACCAACCCAAAAAAGAAAGAAAGAAAGAAAGAAAGAAAGAAAGAAAGAAAGAAAGAAAGAAAGGAAGCAGCACATGTATCACTTGTATACATACATATATATATATATATATATGTTCCCCAATTTCCAGCACCAATACACTCAGTTATACCTGAGTCAGCATCCAACAATTAAGCAAGCTTTCTATGTTTGGTCCGACTTTCTCTCGCAGACCACTGGTCGTAAAGACCTGATCTCTCATCTTTGTCAAATGTCACCTGTATGACATTGCTCACCAGACATTATACCTTTGTAAAAAGTGCCCAGATGGCTATTAATAATCTATTAATTCAAAAATTTAAAAGAGAAAGAAAAAACTGCAATTTGACCATGCAGTCTAAGTCTAGATTTTATTAGGCAGTGGTGGACGTAGTAGTCGCATACTTAAACCCTCAACATTCCAGGTTTATTTCATACAAAGGCTTATTATTCAGTAACTAAACGGACTTCAATGCAAACTAATACAGCTATTCTTAGGTTATAGAAGTGTGTTAAAAACCCTGGCTTATTAAAGGGTTAAGTCAAAGCAGATACCATTTGTATGACATTACTCAAATAAAAGTATAACCTGGCTATACTGCATGACGCGCTGTTGTCTATAACAAGGACAAAAGTAATACATACGTAATGTTGATAATGGTAAATTAGCGGAAAACTTTAAAAAAGGTTTTCTTTGGGGACTATTGTGCCTTACAACACCCTGCATGTACCCCTCTGCCATGAATAGATTTAAATAATGGATTAACAAGACGTTTTAGGCCAAACCTTTACAAAAAAGTTATCATTAAATGTCTCGGGCAACAGGCAGTGTATTTATAAGCACTGCATTCATAAGCTTTAAGGCATGAAACTCTTCAGAGTGGTTCCTATCACCACCAGCGCGAACAACTTTGACTCAGTTTGTTTATCTAGAATTAAGAGAAAACACCCTGAATGACGTTGTTTTCATCTTTACCATTTAATTACGTACAAATTTTGAAAAATTGGTGGGATTCCCCTTCAGGCTGCCGTTATTGCTTAGCTAGCTACATTAGCCTCGGAGTCGGCTGTTGAACCGAACTGCCTCTTTAAGTCTTCTCTCTATTTCTTCATGTTCATCTCTAATAGCACAACAGCGACAAACCTACATTTGCCAAGTTATATCTGGGGCTAAAAGCACAAACATAACCACACCTGCGATAATGAGAAAGTTTTGATTTATCTAATATGATGAGCCTAACGCACTGTGGCTTTTAACTCTAGAAAGTGTTTAATATCATACAGTGTGGTCTACAGTGTGAAACCCAAATATGGCAAATATGACGAGGCTGAAGTCAGCTTCAAACTTAACAGCGCCTTGTTCGAATTTTCCCGTTCGACCTTAAATGGTGCAGCAGTCGGGTTACTTGCTGGCGCCTGATAGCTCATAATAACTTGTGCTGCACAATTTTTTAAGGTGGAACGGGAAAATTCGAACAAGAATTGGCGAAATGGAAGCTGACTTTAGCTTCGTAAACTGGAGTCTCTAAAACGCGTTTTGTTCAGAGATTTTTGCTAACTTCTCGTTTCACTGTACATACAAGCACTGCAATATTTCATGCTTCGTGCATATTTTCATGTTATTTTAACCATAACTGCGTAAATATGCTGCATATGTTGCGGACTTTCTTACCTTCTCCAGCGGGGTTGCGTCTTCTGCGCATGACGGTTACTGCTCACAAAAAAGAAGTCTGCAAAAATATATATATGTATACATAATTTTTTAACATCATCTACATAATCAACGGAATAAAGAAAAACGGTGGTGATAAAATTACACACCATATGCACTTTAAAAAATCCACATTGTTAGAAAAGGCGGACGCTTTTATTACAGGATATACGTCAGTTTTGGGAGACCCTCTTCCGTTTAGCGGCGACACAAATTGGAGGAGCCTCACTGGGGGTGAAAAGGTAGGTTTAAAATATCTTTAAACATCGGCTTTTCGTGGTATTATGTTTTAAAGAAAATAGACGTTGCCGATAATGCTTGTTGTTAGCCGCTGTTCTGGGGGATTATTGGTCAGATTAGGCGTGCTGGCGGCCAACATTTTCTGCACTTAGCATTAGCTACGTTAGCAAGTGCTAATGCCGCCCAGTAAATGCCGACTAATGTCTAAAAGTACCGTTAGCTTAACTTACTTTAACGGTGTCGTTTATATTACAATACGTTATACGTATATGTGTCAGTATAATTCTTGGGCAGTGATTTCAACTAATGTTAAAAGTCCAAGTCGGCAAATAGAAAAAAAGCTAGTTGAGAAGCTAACTAAGCTAGCTAACCTAAGTTAGAAACGGTTAGTGTTATCTTGAGAATGAATCAATAGGATGACAAACTAAACATGCACATCCCCTTTTTGTAAAATGAATCTAGTTGGTTCTGAAATAAAAACGGCTACATGCAGGAATCCTTGGTTCATTGTAGTAACGGTGGTCAGTGATGACTAGTCCACTGCGCAAGCTGAGGTGCTGTAAAATACGCACTCTTGTGAAGAAGGCAGTGCTGAGCTTAGTCTGAGCCCCGCTTACTCCAACTGTGCTCTTGCAGATTATACACCAACACCAAAATTATCAAGACACCCATTTTAATTAGGCTACTTTAAAGGGGAATTGCACCACTTTTTATTTTCTGCATAATTCAGTGGTTGAGATGCAAACAGTCATTAAGGGTGGTTTGATGTGAAATGGCAGAGAAACTTGCTGACTGACTTCTTTACAGTGGCGGTGACGGGAATCAGGGATCATGATGTCTACAACACAAATATAACGTAGACTTTTCATTTACTATCCAAAATGACCAGTGAACCTACACATATATTTAGAGTTTTTATATGCAGTGGTAAAATAGGGGTAAATCTGGGGAAAAATGTTCTCATTGGGGACCATTTTGCCTTATAATGCCTTGCATGTACCAGTCTGCCTTGAATAGTTTAAGAAGTATATGTTTTAGGTCAAACCTTTAATCTTTTGTCTTTCAAAGAACCCTTGGGCATCTTGTGAAGTATCTGTAACCATTTCAGGGATTAGCTTTTGGTAATCCTATCACCACCACTGTGAATAATTTTGACTCTGTGGATTTCTCTGGAATGGGACATTTCACCCCAAAATCACATTCTGAATGACTTTGTTTACATCATGACAATTTATGCAGAAATGTTGAAAAATGAAATGGAATTCCCCTTTAAAGTTTATCCCTTGCATTTATCTGTGCACACAACTTTCTCTAGAGCATTGCAAATAAAATGGGGCACATGTCGTCATCATGCCCAGTGCCCGTCTTCAGCTAGAGAGGTATAAAGCTACCCAGCAATGGACTGTGGAGCAGTGGAACTCATTTCCTGTTGAGATGTTGCACCATCCAGTGATTTTTGGGATGAGTTGCGTGGCATTTGTGATCCAGAGCTAATCGTCCAGCATCAGAACCTGATCTCACTAATACTATTCTGACTGAAGGCAATCAAATTCTCATTGCAATGAGGCTACTTTGGCAGAAAAGGGGGGCAAGATATCTGTTAATACGCTTGATTTCAGAAGAAACATTGGATGAGGTGTCTGCAAATGTTGGGACATATTCTCCGTTGCTCCCACTCTGAGGGATGCACACTGGGGTGTGATTTGTTACATTATAAGGTTTCTGTGTGGTGACCTAACTGCATATGCTCACTTTGTCTCTATCTGCTGTTCCTGAAGACCATGGCAAAGTTCCTGGCCCCAGTGATTCAGGATAACCCCTCAGGATGGGGTCCCTGTGCTGTACCTGAAAAGTTTAAGGACATGCCCTACCAGCCCTTTAGTAAAGGAGATCGTCTGGGCAAGGTAACGTCTTGCTTGATAGAATATATAATTTTTTCACACTTAATTCATTTCACCAATTAATTATGAAATACTTCATAAGTTAAATCTACTAAGGAAGGAAAAACACTGAACTGTGTAGTCTGTTGACCCAGATCTAAAAGATGTAGCAGGACTGGGACATCTTTTTTCTTTGTGTTCATAGGTGGCAGATTGGACTGGAGCAACCTACCAGGATAAGAGATACACAAGTAAGTTACAGCCAGTCATACTTTTCCCCCCCTCCCCTGAACACACTGATGCTCTTTCAGTACTACTAGCATATCTTTCGTTCTGTGTTGTCTGTTAGACAAGTACTCATCTCAGTTTGGAGGTGGCAGTCAGTATGCTTATTTCCACGAAGAGGATGAAGCAAGTTTCCAACTGGTGGACACGGCCAAAACCCAGAAAACGGCCTACCAAAGGAACCGCATGCGCTTTGCTCAGGTACACAACAAAGGCTGAAACACCTCTCGATTCAAAACATTTTCAAGTTAAAGTTGATTTGAAGTCTGCAGTTTGGGCAGGTGATGATGGCTGTTATGATTTACAAGTAGAATGGGGCATTATTTGTCAGTGTTTTGACTAAGGCTTTTTTCTGTTGTGGAATGTCCACAGAGGAACTTGCGGCGGGATAAGGACCGCAGGAACTTGACACAGTTCAACATGCAGACTCTCCCTAAGAGTGCCAAACAGAAGGAGAGAGATCGCATGCGTCTGCAGAAGAAGTTCCAGAAGCAGTTTGGAGTCCGTCAGAAGTGGGACCAGAAATCACAGGTACCCTCACTATTCACTAAAAAAAATCAGACCCTGCCAACTGGAATAGACAGCTGTTGCTCAACTGCTGTGTTATTGTTATTGAATAATTATTATTAGTACAAAACTGGTGTCATACGGTTCTGCTTTAAATAGTGGTAAGCAATCAGTGGTCGCAGACTGACTGAAAAATAAGAGAGGCATAACAGTTATATTACTAGAATAGATTTTCTTAGTGGTTATAAACTGCTGCTCCATTATGTATGCCATGTTTGCTGGATATTAAGTGATATCAGTGAATGTTTTCCTAGATTTTCTGCAGCAGTGTCACTGGCTGTTATTTTTGCTTATTATTAGTTGGTATGCCAACTTGATTCTCCTTATAATGTCTCACACAGGCCCAGCTGAAGCCCAGGGACTCATCTGTGGAGGTGCGCAGTGACTGGGAAGTGAAGGAGGAGATGGACTTCCCCAGACTCATGAAGATGAGATACATGGATGTGGCAGACCCTATAGATATGTAAGTATTTGAACACATTGACCTCTCCTGGTCTGGCTGACCATGTACAGCCTCTGGTATAAAACTGGTGTCTCTTAACTGTAGGTTTAACTTGCTTCCGACAGATCCAGTGACTCCAACTCAGTCCTAAAAACCTGGCCTAGTTTCTCTTTATCAGTTTGCTGATCTCTGCCCTTGTTTCCTTCTTCTGGTGCAGTGAATGCTGTGGTGCTCTTGAGTATTACGATAAAGCATTTGATCGCATCACCACCCGCAACGAGAAACCGCTGAAGAGCATTAAAAGGATCTTCCACACGGTCACCACCACTGATGATCCAGTCATCCGCAAGGTAGAACAGCTTGCACACACATGCACACTCGCAAACCAGCAAAAGCTTTGCAGATAAAGCTGCAAGCCATTAAAACTAGGCAACTTTTTTGGTCTAACTATCCTAGAGGGCTTTTGCCAGTTTGATAATAATACATGTTTACCTGCCTTGATTTGGGTTGGTTTTGAGGCCTTTTTGGTGGTTTAAGAATTCTATAGAAGTTAAACACCTGGTGGAACTTAGCATAATTAAATTGCAATCACACAGTAATATCACTGTCCCCCTTCTTTCTCTCTTCCCTCCCTCTCCCTGTCTCACACTAGCTGGCTAAGACTCAGGGTAATGTCTTTGCCACTGATGCTATTCTGGCTACGCTGATGTGTTGCACACGTTCAGTGAACTCTTGGGACATCATTGTGCAGCGTGTTGGAAACAAGCTCTTCTTCGACAAGAGAGACAATTCGGACTTTGGTACGTCTCATAAGAATTGTCAATTCTTCGTCAACAGTAGGAAGATCGCTCTTAATAGTTAAAGCTTTTTTAGAATGTAGATCATATTGCAAGATGATCCAGCAGAGACGATTTAGAAATTCTGTGTTTTGTTTTTTTTGTTTTTTTTTATAGGGTCTAAAAAAGATATTCTAAATTGAGTATATTCCCCATTGAGTGTGACTGTTCTCTAATGTTAGAGTTCGAGAAATTAGAGAAGATACAGTGGTATCTCGATGTAATTATTTTAATACAGCAAATGTGCATTACATTGGTATTTTAATGGTTCCATTTTCACTTTATTGTGGCATTCAGTATTATAAAAGTACATATTTTGACACACATGCTGTGCTTTATAGTGTTCCTATCTTAACAGCACCAGCTAAAATGCTTGCTGCGATACAGTGCACTGCAATAGATTTCGATACAGTACATTTTGTTATATTACCCTGCATTGGCTATTACATTAAATGGTTGTTTGTGTGTGTAAGTGAGTAGCTTCCTGCCTGTCTCCCTTAGATCTGTTGACTGTCAGTGAGACTGCCAACGAGCCTCCTCAGGACGAGGGAAACTCCTTAAACTCACCCCGGAACCTGGCCATGGAGGCCACATACATCAACCATAACTTCAGCCAGCAGTGCCTGCGCATGGTGCTGTACCAAAACTTTCTTTAGTACTTGGTTTACTGAAATATTAGATTTGCATGCTTGCTTGACACAGCTTAAATATGTGTAATAAATGCATTAAATGTGCTTTGTCAGGGAGGAGAGAGACACAAGTTCCCCAACCCAAACCCATTTGTGGAGGAAGATATGGATAAGAGTGAGGTTGCCTCAGTAGCCTACAGGTAAGGAAAAAAATGTATAAAGAGAGTGCTTTAATAAAGACGCTATTAGGGGTGCGGGAAAAAATTGATTCTTAGATGCATCGCGATGCGGACGTGAACGATTCTGAATCGATTAACACGTCAAAAATCGATTTTCTAAATATTTAATTTATAATGTAATGTTGACGGAACGCAAAAGGTGGAACTTGGAAGTGCACTTGGACAGTCTGTGGCAGCACACAACAAAAACACTACTGGATGAGCGAGAAATCTGACCGGCTCCGTCTGCATTAAACGCCAGGTTAGATCAGGAGTCACAACACAAATGATAAGAAGAGCCATTTTGTCCTTTCAGCAAAAATCAAACCAGCTTGGGAGCCGCAACATTTTATGTCCAGTATGTGATAATATCCTAGTATAGGCTAAACAATATAAACGAGAGCGCACTTACTTTGCTCTGCTTTAAGCTTTAGCCGCTTTCCTCCCATTTCCCTCAGGAAACTTTTATTCAAAACCTAGAGCAGCTTATTGTAAAATGTCTCTGCGTTCTACTGTTTTAAGAGGCTGAAGTCGCTTCTTATTCTCCAGCTTCTTGTTTGAATTTTCCTGTTCCACGTTAAATTCTGACTGAGGTGCCGAATGCCACACCATTTAAGGTGGAACGGGAAAATTCGAAAGAGAAGCGTCTTCATCTTTGCAACTTTTTAGAGAGAGACAGAGAAAGTCTCTTGTTGCAGGTTTAACGTACCAGGAAACCAACTGTAGTGCTTATAAATGCGAATAACGCATCGCTGCTATGTGACCTGCAGTCTGCACAGCAATTCTCAGTCGTTGCGAAACAGGGCTTTCGCGCTATGTTGCACGTGTCCTGTCTCGAAGATATTTTACTGACACAGCGACCACCAACACCCCCCCCCCACCCTCGCCTCTACAACGAGATCAAAACCGAAGTAATAAAATCACTAAAGAAAACGAGTAGAATAGCTGTAACATGGACATCCATTACCACTGGATCTTTTATCACCGTAATTTTATCGCAGATGAGTGGCAAAAGCAGGGAATGAGAGCCTTCAGGTTTACTTGCCGCATCACTTCTATTTGATTTATTAATAAGAGATATTGGAAGTAAATTCATCATTGATCATTACAAATACTTTGGTTTAAAAGTACCAGGTTACTTTAAATAACACAGTCACTTTAAAATGTATATTTTCTCTATTTTCTGTGTATATTTTGTGTATATTTAATATGTCAGTTAGTTTTTCTTGTATTTTTATTCTTACTTAGTTACTTTCTGTAGAGTGATTAGCTGAGCCTCACCACAAGCATTTCAATGCATAAATGTCCTGGCATGTTGTGCAAATGACAGATAAACTTGAAACTTGAACTCGAAACTTGAGCTCACACAGTGAGAAAATAAATGTTATATAGAAAAAAAAAAGATGCATCGAGATGCATCGATAATCGTTTTATAATTGTACCGCAGCCCTCTGAATCGTAATCGAATCGTGAGGTGCCTAGAGATTCCCACCCCTAGACGCTATGGTGAAAACAATGAACTGTTATAATGCTGGTGAGATCATACTGACATTTTCTAGCTTTCAGTAAATATTGAAACTTTCAAGTGTTCAGAATACTTTCGAATGGAATACTGTGCCATGACATTGTAACATGTACAGGATCAGCCCCATAGTGACTTCGGTATACAGCACTGATCTGGGACAGATGTGAACAAGCTGTCCCTTGCATTGTGAGTATACTGTAACAGAAAGCTGAGAGAGAGTATTGACTTTGTGTGTGCGTGTTTGTAGGTACCGACGGTGGAAGCTCGGGGAGGATATTGATTTGATGGTGCGCTGTGAACATGACGGCGTTATGACCGGAGCGAACGGAGAGCTGTCCTTTATCAACATTAAAGCACTCAATGAATGGGACTCACGGGTGAGATACAGAAAGTGTGCATCTAATAAGTGAGAAACTATAGGAAATGAGGGATAGTAGGAATAAAAGCATATATATATATATATATATATATAGGGGAAAATAATTTGATGTTTATTTCTCTTCTGATTTACAACTAATTTCTTCTTTCAAACATCTCAGCATGTGTGAAACATCTCGAATTTATTTTTTAAGACTTCAGTGGAGTTAATTAGCATGTGTTAGCCAAAGTGACACTGCTGTTGTTTGTACAGTATTGTAATGGAGTGGACTGGCGTCAGAAGCTGGACTCCCAGAGGGGAGCTGTGTTGGCCACAGAGCTGAAGAATAACAGTTACAAACTGGCTCGCTGGACCTGCTGTGCCCTATTGGCTGGCTCTGAGTACCTTAAACTGGGGTGAGAACGCACGCATGCACGCTTACTTGTTTATTTGGGCACTTTTATGCATTTATATAGCAGGGTGCATATCACTAACACAAAGATATTTTATTACCTATAAAGGAATGATCAGCTATAAGCAATCCCTACTCTCCAACAAGCTTCTAGTTAATATACAATTTTTGTAAATTTCTGCTTAAATTAATGGTTGAGATGTAAACAAAGCTGTTCAGAGTGGTTTAATGTGAAATGGTTCTTTGCAGAAAAACCTGCACTTCAGATTTCTTTTAGTGATTTTAGTGAACAAAGGTCACAATGACACACACACACACATTTTCTAAGCTGCTTATCGTTCTGGGTTGCGGGGGGTGCTGGAGCCTATCCCAGTGCTTATTGGGCAGAAGGCAGGAAACACCCTGGATAAGTTGCCAATCCATTACAGGGCAGTCACGATGACTACAGGACAAATATAGCTATTTTATTCACTGTCCAAAACAACTAGTTAACCCTACAGATTTTTTTTATAGAATGTTGAAGGTGAAATAATAGTAAATTTGAAATATTGGTTTCTTTGAGCACTATTTTGCTTTGCAGTGCCCTGCATGTACCTCTACACCAAGAATTGATACTAAAGAATTTCTATCACCACCACCACTGGGAACAATTTTGATTCTAAATTTCTTGAGAATGGAGAATTTCACATCAGTTCACTTTGAATTACTTTATGAAGTTTTGAAAACTCTGTGGGATTACCCTTCAATGCTATAAAGTTGTCGTAGAGTTGTTGTGTTTTTTTTGTTGTTGTTGTTGTTGTTGTTGTTGTTGTTGTTGTTGTTGTTGTTGTTGTTGTTGTTGTTGTTGTTGGTTGGTTGTTTGTTTGTTTGTTTGTTTTTTTTTTCTCCTCCAGTTAGTATGCTGGACTTTTGAAAGTATGTTTATTAGATCAAACATTGAATACATTGTTTTTGCGCTTCAGTTATGTGTCCCGCTACCATGTGAAAGACTCCGCACGTCATGTGATCCTGGGTACGCAGCAGTTCAAGCCCAATGAATTTGCCAGCCAGATCAACCTGAGTATGGAGAACGCCTGGGGCATTCTGCGCTGCGTCATAGACATCTGCCGCAAACTGGATGAGGGCAAGTACCTCATTCTGAAAGACCCCAACAAGGTGAGAAACCATAACACGCACACACAATCTTGTTACTGTGACCCTAAACTTATCCTTAAGCATGATCCTAATATTCACCTTGATAGCACAAAAGAAAATGTTGAAGGCTTAAAATAACTATTATTATTATTTATAAATAACATTGCAATTTCTATTTTTTAATGGGAATGTACTGAACGATTACTTCAACACTACTGTTTTGTTCATCACTTGTTTGTTTGTGTTCACAGCAAGTGATCCGCATCTACAGCCTCCCAGACGGAACCTTCAGCTCTGACGAAGATGAGGATGAAGAAGAGGACGACGAAGATGAAGATGATGAAGGTAATAAGTTTAGATTTTTGAGCTTATCTTGTGCACTGAAAAGCTGCTGCCATGTACATACTTAATATGATGATCTGTGGCACCGTTCCCAAGTTCTAAACCAATGAGCATGCTGTGTAATAAAGCCCAGTTTAAAATCATTTCTAATCTAATAAAATCACACTTGCCAAATCAACATATCAAAATCATTCTCCCTTCTCTGAATGTGTGGTATTTCATGAGACTTTCTAGACTTGGAGATTGTCCCAAGTGGAGATGAAAAAATTTGGCAAGGCTGATCTGAGGCATCTTTTTGGCAGAATCTGCATGAAACTCTACATGAAAAGGTTTTACTCATTCAGGTTTTTCTGTCTATTTCCTAGATGAAGAGAACTGAGGAGCTGGATGAATGAAATGGAGGACAATGAGACCAAACGAGTCAGCACTTTCCCTGCTGCTCTCACACCTCTTCCCATCACATACAGATTAAACAAGGCTTATTAAAAGGTTGAGCAATAATCGTGTCCCTGATTTCTTGTTTTACATTCTATGGTTGGTGGGGGGGGGCGGGGGGGTGGGGTTTGGATAAATGTTGCTATAGCTATATCCCTCCCCCTTGCTGACACCTGGGCAGTCCACACGAGGGCAGTGTTTGGCTAGGTTTTAAATGCAGGGTGGTAACTGAAAGACATGCATGAACAGAGTTTTTTAGTCAACAGTACATTTTTATATATATATATATATATATATATATATATATATATATATATATATATTTTTAAGTAGTATAATTTTCTACCTTATGTACACATACTGGTGTGCTAAAGTCAAAGACCACTCCTTATTTCATTTGTAGTCTGAATGACCTATAGGTGAGTTTTGCTTTTCAGTATTGGGGAGGGAAAAAAAGGAAACATTTAACAGAAAATTGCACAAACCTTCAACACCAAACATATCAAATCTGTCAGTATGTAAGTTGTTTACTCTTCAGTGTCGTGCACTAAATGCTACTCTATCCTTCCAATCTCAAAACCAACCAGATACAACTGTCCTCCCAACAAAAGGTCTTCTCAAAGGAGTCACTGACATTCTGTTCCTTTTAAAGAGATACTAACACTTACACAAGCAACTACCAAACTCTGCTTAGCTGCCTTACAAAGTTCTCTCACAAGTGCAGCTAAAATGGCTAAAGGAGAAATTTCTGAGGATGTTAAATGTAAGTAAAATTATGTGAAAAAATGACTTTCAAAAACAAATTCCTGAAAATTATTTAAAGAAAATTGCTTAAAGCTGAGATGACAGCTGAATGCTATGGGTCTAAAGGGATGTTAAGGCATCAAGGAGTCTGCTGAGAAAAAAGAATGTGCACTAGAGCACTGACATTTGAGATGTGGAGATTTTATGGATGAGTCTTAATTTAGATTTAAACTCTTGAGATTGTGAGAAGTGGAAAATGCCACCAACTTCTAAGACTGAATTTTAGAGGTGTGGAAAAATATTCCTGCACATTTCCCAGAGGACCTGAAATCTAACAAAGGCCACAATACATACTGAAAATATACTACATTTTTGTGCAAAATATGTTCCTTTTTCCAAAAGTTCCTTTTTGAAAACATTTTTGAACTGATGCCGCATCATCTGCTGCATTAAAACTTGAAAAACGTCCTGTAAGGTGACCTGAAATTTTATTACTGAAATTGGCTTTTAGTAATTCGCTTTTACAACACATTCAGACAGCAGTATAAAGGCTTCATATCTGAACAGCATCTAATAATGTTCATGTTTAATGTGTAATGCCTTTAAAGACAAAACAGATGCACATGTGCAGGATACTGGATTAGTGTTGGACATGTGTAAAGATTATGTCTTGACCACAGCTTCACGTCCACCCTAAAGGGCCTGGGCTGTTTGTTAAAGCATGCTGCTGTATCGCTGCTGAACCTCGAATCTCTGCATTTCTCATAAAGCTCCCTGCAAGCGTTCACACTAGAGCTGAGCCATGGACCCCCTCTCCCTCTCTCATCTTTTATTCTTTTATTCATGTGCCACCTTTATTCTTCTGCTTTAATATCATCAGTCACACCCCTCCCCTTCTTCTCCTCCCTCTCTCCCTCCCTTCTTCCCTCTCTCTCTTTCCCTGTCGTCCCCATCTCTCAATCACTCTGGTCAAGGTTAAGGAGGGAGCAGGTTAAAAATAGTTCAATAAAGCGAAGAGGCAGACGGAGCGCTCCCAGCATACTGATCAGGCCCAGAGTCCAGCAAGGGTGGGGGGGCTGCAGAAAGAGCCGTAAAAAGAGACCAAGCAAGTAAAGAAAGAGGGGAAGAGGGTGATTTGGACTGGAAGATGGGTTGATCAATGCAAGTGAGATGAGAAGAAGTTGGTTGGGGGGGTCTTTTTGTTCTCATTATACATCAAAAATCTAATAGGTGGTATCCAATCCAGGCTTCAGGCATGTGATTATGTAAAACTTAAAGAGTTTTAAGTTGAACCAAAATCTGTGTTTTCTTTCTAATTAGGTTACGCTAATAGTAAACATGTACTAAGTATACTCTTTAAATAATGTTCCATTGATTTATAAATGACCGATATATTACACCATATTTCTCTCTTGGGTGGTCCTAGTTTTGGGTAATGCTTACATAAGCATTCCCTTCACCAATCACAAGGCTGACGTCTCTTGCCCCGCCCACACAAAACAGTCTCAGAGTCAGAGAAGCTTAGCAAACTAAAGCTAACTCAGCATAACCAAAAGCTGGAAAGCTAGACCACCTGTAGCTGTTTGTCAGCTGTTCATTTGTTCATCCCAGGGGTCAGCAACTCAAACACTAAGAGGAGCTATTTTGTCCTTTCAACAGAAATCAAACTACCTTGGGAGCCTCAACATTTTATGTCCATTTTACCATCTTGACTGTAAATATGTCTCAGTAATGTACTAATACAGGTTAAAAATATAAACGAAAATGCAGACGTACTTTGCTCTGCTAAAGCTTTAGCTCAGCTATAGCCACTTTTCTCACATCTCCAGCAGGAAACTTTTCCACAAAAGTAGAATAGTTTTTTGTAAAACGTCTCTCAACATTAGTTTTCTTATGAGGTTGAAGTCAGCTTCTCACTCGCCAGCTTCTTGTTCGAATTTCCGTACACTGTGCGATTTTAGCCCGTTTTTAGGCCCAATTTGGTCAGAGCTGTCACCAAAGAACCTGAGGCGCCAGAATGGAACTGATGCACCATTGAAGGTGGAACAGGAAAATTCGAACAAGAAGCTGGTAAACGAGAAGTTGACTTCAGCTTCCCGACCTTTTAGTGTTTGACAGTTTCTCGTTGCAGAATAAAGGTATCAGGAAACCAGCTGGAGTGATTATAAATGAAAGTAAGTTCATTCATCTCCAAATTATCGTTGGCTATTGTTTGCATTTCTATGGTAACCAGCAGTCTGTGATGTCCAACCTTCAAGGTTAAAGGCTGAGTTAGCAGTTCTACGTTAACTCCAGCATTTAAGACCATTTATTGTTAAAACTGTGTTGAACGATCAGCAGAGCTTTATTTTACTGCAAAGGAGGATTATTTTATTTTTACCTAAAAATCTAATTCTGCTGTGGAGCCGCAACAGGGCAGAAAAAGAGTCGCATGCAGCTCCAGAGCTGCACGTTGCTGACCCCTGGTTTATCCAAACAGGAATACATTGTTGTTCGTCCTTTCATTCACACATTGCTTCATCCATCCCTCTGTCCGTCTGCATATCTGTTTGTCCGTGACTTCTTCGTCCAGTTACAGTCACACAAAAGCTGGATAATGATTTTAGTTCTGTATGAGTGGTGGAACAAGCTAGGAGTGTTGTACAGAGAGCTGTCAGTCAACACTAAAGTTTATTATTATACAATTGTTTGTATTTAATTTAGACATGATTGTTTTTACATTTTTTTTGTAAGTGTGTCTTTAAGACTGCTATATGTAAATGAGCTCTGTTCTTATTGGTTGCCCTCATTCAAAGCAGTCCACGCTGAAGCACTCCTTTAGCATGAATGGGCGGGGCTAAACTGCTGTGCCCTAAGGATGTAGATGTGGTTGTTTTTGCGACACCACAAAAACAACTTACTTAAAGTAAGTGATATTTGCAGCCTATTTTCCATAAATGGATTTTATGGACGTGAATGTTATGTTTTGAAACTATTTTGCATACTAGATCAAAAAGTCTTGTAAAAAGTCTGTTATTTTTCTGGTTTAGGCTCTGTAATGTGGGCCCAAAACCTGAAGAAGATTTACAATTCGTCCTTCTGTGGCGTGTCGGTTTCTTTTTTGCTGTGCGAGTTTAGTTTGCGCACTGTGACCACTATTCGTCCACAAACATGCACAATACTCTCGTACTGCACTCCTCTCACACTGGAGCTCTACAGATACTGACTTAGTGGATTTTGGAGCTCCTCAGTTTTATAACAGTTCTCTCTCTCTTATCTCTTTTCTCTCTTTTACTTTCCCTCTCTCTCTCACTTGTTCCCCTTCTCTCTCTCTCGTCTTCATGCTCTTCTCTCTCACTCTTGGCTCTCTTTTTTCAACCCTCTCTATTTCCTTCTCTTCCTCCTCTTTCTACCATTCTTCTCTCTCTTTCTGTCTTTATTCTTCTTGTTCTCCCCTTCATTCTATCTTCTCCTCCCCCCTCACTCTCTCATGTTTACCCCTTCTCATTCTTCTCTCTTCTATCTTTCTCTTCTCTCTTTCTGTCATCTCTCACTGCTTCCTTCTTCTTCTGCTTTCTCTCTCTCTCTCTCTCTCTCTCTCTCTCTCTCTCTCTCTCTTTCTCTCTCTCTCTCTCTCTCACTCTTTCTTTCTCAGTTTTCTCTTTTCTCCTCTCTTTACCTTTACCTGTCTCTCTCAGCTCATCCCATCTCCCTCTCTCTCTCTCTCTATTACACTCACATCTTCCACTTCTGTTCCCCTTTATCTTCTCTCTCCTCTCTCTTCTCTCTTCCCTTCTTCTCTCTTTCTCTCTGTCCTCCCTTTCATTTCTCCCCCTTCTCTCTCTCTCTCTCTCTCTCTCCCTACCCTTCTGTGTCTCTCAATTCATCCCAGCTCTCTCTCTCTCTCTCCCTCCCTTATACTCACATCTTCCCCTTCTTTTCCCCCTTATGCTCTCTTGTATCTTTATCTTCCCTTTCTCTTTTCTCTTCTCTCGTCTTTCTCCCCTTCTTCTGTCTTTCTCTCTGTCTTCTCTCTCACTTCTCCTTCTTCTGTCTCTCTCTCTTTTCTTTCTTTCTCTTTAATCTCTCTCCCCTTCATCTCACTCTCTCTCTCTCTCTCTCTCTCTCTCTCACTTTGTCCCCTCTCTGTCTCTCTTTTATTTTGGTTCTCTCTTTCCTTGTCTTTCTCCTCAATCTTCTCATTTCTCTCCTCTCTCTCTCCCTCCCCCTCCTTCACCTTCTCTCTCTGTCTCTACTTGCTTTCGTCTTTGATTAAATGCATGACAAATGCCCCCTCCTCTTTAGGAACTCTCACACGACCACCACCATTTCCAATCTCACAG